CATCAGATATTGTCCAAGACTAACTTCAGGGTGGATATAGCTCGCTCACACAGAGGACCTATCTACATCATCATTTACCTAGAATGCTTTGTGTGTAAAAAAATGGCTCTGTCCATGTCAAAATATGTTAAAAAAAAATTACAAAACTAAACATCCTACAGTATTTTTACAGTCTTTATTTTACAGTTAAAATAAATGTTTATCAAATAAAGTCTAATGTTACAACTAATCATGGATCCCTTTAAATGTTTTCTCAGCTACATAAGGTTATTTCAGAGTGGACCAACTACAGTTTGATTTCTTCAAACTGTCCAGGTTGACCTGTCCGCCCTCTTATTTAAATGTTTAATATGTGCTTTAAACTTATTAAAACATGGGAAAAGGAACAGAGTGRCACTGATGCTGACGTTTCTGGATCGCAGCTTCACAAAGGACCTGGATTTTTACATTCYTCACTATTGCACAAAATTGCATCCCTACATTTTGAGCTCCATATTTTCTTACCTTGATCTAATATGGACAGCCCCATCCTGTTTTAAACTCCGTTGCGTCAGACATCTTTCAGGATTTGCCACAAGTATTGGTTTAGTCTAGTTTCAGTTTCCTGGAGTGTGATTGAAGTCCAGCCCTGTGAAAGCTCAAAGGGCCATCAGCACCAACAATAGACCTGTGATTTCTTTTTGTGCCTTGCTTGTTTGGCGTACGTCTTCGTTGCCAAATGTCTCCGGGGGCCCTTGATGCTGGGAGCACACCTGTCACACTGGATGTTCCCCGAGAGGCCAACTGGAGCGGCTAATCGGATGTGACACCTTCTGCAATAATTCAAAGGCTTTCCAAGCGCTCTGAATTTTATTTTATTTTTTAACTACAAAAGCACGTTTACTAATGGCCAAGGCTTTTCTGTGCCGCTTTATTCTAGTGTTGGCAAAAACTCTTAACATTAGTATGGTATTTATTTCTAATTATGACTCGCCGCCACTGGTTCCAAGGGAAATTATCCAATGCTGTAGGAGTTTAAGCTCTAAAAGCAGCTGTAGTTTTCCAAAAGTGCAGAATGCTGTATTTAAAATGCTGTTTCTTACGGCTTCTTGGGTTCTCCTGAAAAGAGGAAAATCCTTCCTGTTTAATGCTTGATGAGGATATTCCTAACTAAACTCTCGAGCTGTTGAACTCATTTTCTCCTTTTTCTTGTCATTATTCTTTATTTCTGAGGCAAAACATGAAACTGCGATATGTTACACAACTTGTTGCTAGTTTACCAAAGAGTGAGTGAGTTGATGCCACCAGCTTTGTTTAGCTAATCTGTGAGGTCGAGCATCTAAAGCCTTTCCTCAGCCTACATCCCCCAGAGTTCAGTGAAATTATCAACATTCTATAAGATGCATTTACTTTTGATTACATGTCTATCACAATATATGATTATTGCCCAACTCTTTGTGAGATATGTTGTGTTGAGGATGACTGTCACCACCTCATCAAATTTTAGGTCAATATCTGTAAATTTGAATTATGGCCATTTTGTTGTTTAAGGTTGATTAGGTGACCATGTTGAAATCAGGGTTCCTGCAGATCCTTAAAAGTCATTGAATTAATCAATCCAAAAATAAGGCCTTAATTGGCCTTAAAAGGTCTTAAATCAATCTTTCAGAAGTCTAAAATGTAAACATATTGTTAGTAGGATGATTGTAATTCATCTCAAATTATTGCTGTACCAAACGATTATTTTCTAATCGATTAATTTAATGATTATTTTTTCGATTAATCGATTATTCTAACAACAAATCTTTAAGTTATTCTGATGTGAGTGCACTGGATATTTACAATGTTTTCATCAAATTAAGAAGAACAGTTCTTTAATATTTCAATATTTTCTTTAATAGTTTTTTCATGGACACAAAATATGCACTCGAGTCAATTCTTTAACAAAAAAAAAAAGCTTAAAAGATTTAACATCAATATAAAATCTCAACCAAAGCATATAAAATTCAAGTAAAAGAAATGTAGTGCATGATGTTAACAATCTAACAATTGAACTAAATCATGCAAAATTCAAGTCACTCTGGAAAAACTATAATAAACATTTATTTATTATTTTTTAT